TCTCTTCTAAGGTTCTGTAAGGATGCTCGTCTTTGGATCTAGGGCCCACTGGATTCATCCCGGATGATCTCAGCTTGAGATTCTTAACTGAGTCCACATCTGCAAGACCTCTTTTTTTTTTTTTTTTGACAGAATCTCGCTCTTGTCACCCAGGCTGGAGTGCAATGGTGCAATCTCAGCTCACTGCAATCTCCACCTCCTGGGTTCGAGTGATTCTCCTGCCTCAGCCTCCCAAGTAGCTGGGATTACAGGCACCCACCACCATGCCCGGCTAATTTCTTTGTATTGTTAGTAGAGACGGGGTTTCACCATGTTGCCCAGGTCTCTAACTCCTGACCTCAGGTGATCCGCCTGCTTTGGCCTCCCAAAGTGCTGGGATTACAGGCATGAGCCACTGCGCCCTGCCAAGACCCTTTTTCTAAATAAGATCAATTTACAGGTCCTAAGGGTTAGGACACAGGTATATTCCAGGGAGGCTGCAATCCAACTCCCTACAGGTAGATGTTACTATTCCCAAGTTATAAAAGGGGACTGAGGTGGCCACCAAAGTCAGCTGTCCCCACTCAGCTAGTCAGTGGCAGGGCTACAAATGTGGTTCTGTGGACACTGTGGGTCACAAGCATCCCTCTCGGCCCAGTCACACCTCCCCTGTGACTTCAGGCCAGTCGTGAGGTCCCACATCCTTGTCTGTCACCTGGGGGATGATGATGATGATGATGATGAAGGTATAGAATGGTCAGGCCCAGCGCGATGCACGTTACATGTAGAAAACCAAGTGTAGGACACCGGTACTGTGAGGAACCTCATTCCACAGACGGGAAGCTGAGTTTTGTAGAGTGAAAGTGACTTGGCCAAGCCTGCACAGCCGGCATGTCACAGACCCAATGCCAATGCCTGTGCTCTCAGCCACTGACCAGGGCCACCCTTTGTGGACACTGCTTCCCAGCCTTCCAGGGGCTTCATGGAGACTGCGTTGATGCAAGGGCTGAGGGGGTTGTGCAGTGTCGCAGAAATGTGATGCAGTTTGTTGCTTTCATGGCTGTTACTATGGTCTCCCTGGTGCCCACTCCCAGGGAGAGACTAAGCGAGAGGTAGGCAGATGTGACTCCAGGGTGAAGAGCAGGCCTGGAGCCCCCACTTGCATCTGATCCAACAGCCCTGAGCTTACCTAGGCCCTGGCCCACCTCGAGTCTCCAGGTCCTGATGGGAATCTCAAATCCTGGGGAAGGGCCTGGAGCTGCAAGGTTCCTGGGAGACATACACAGCCATGCCTGGGAGGGCAGCTGATCTCACTGCCTTCTGCTTTGTGCCCCCCACCTCCCTGGCCAGGCATCGTGCGAGCCTCCAGCGTCTTCCCCATCCTCAGCACCATCCTGCTTCTGCTGGGTGGCCTGTGCATCGGCGCCGGCAGGATCTACAGCCGCAAGAACAACATCGTCCTCAGCGCCGGCATCCTCTTCGTGGCTGCAGGTGAGCCGCCTGCCCGGGCTGGCGCTGGGCTGGGAGCTGGGGACACAGGACTGCCTGTTTCACACTGCAGGGAGTGTGCATCCTGCGGGGGGGAATGCGGACATAACATCGCTGCATGCAACTGACTTGTAACGATCCGGTGTTTAGGACGGGGTGGATGGAGAATGGGGAGCACCTGCCGAACAGGGCTTCCTTGTGGGGTGACAGAAATGTTTTGGGTGCTTGCACAACATTCTGAATGCGCCAAATGCCACTGGATTGTGCCCTTCCAAAGGGTTACTTTTATCTTGCATGAATTTCACTTCAACCAAAAAATAAATCCAGGTGTGCAAAGTGGTGCGTGGGGTTCAGCTGGCAGTTTTACAAGCCTGTAACTGGAGCCTGCCTGGGTTAGGCGGTCAGGGAGGTGCCCAGGGGAATCATGCCAAAACTCGAAGGAGTTGGCCAGGTAAAGACAGGGTGAGGGCCCAGAATGGGCATGAGTGGCCGTCTTGCAGAGGAAGCAGAAGTCTGAGAGTGAGCAGGCGGCCCCCGCCCATCCCGACTGCCCCAACCCTCCTGGCTACAAGAAGGCAGCAGCACCTCAGAGCCATGCCCGATGTCCCCGGAAAGTGCCACTGGGGAAAAGCCACAGAGCTGTGGGTGACAGTGACATGCCACCTTGGCTGAGGATGGGCAGGTCTGTGATCCCACACACGCGGGCCTCTCAGAGCATCCTTGTCCTGTCCTGCATTCCCTCGCCCTTTGTCCTGGAGTGGGTAGATGACTTCTGTTCACATCCTGGGACCCGGGGCCACTGCAGTAGAGGGGCTGGCTCCAGCTCTGCAGCCGCCGCTGGGGAGCCGAGGTGCCAGGCCCCAGTTCTACACCACTCCAGCATCTGTTTCCTTCCAGTGCAATAAATAGACGTGTGTGTGGAGTGCGTGTGTCAGGAGTGTGGTGTGTGTATGTGTTTGAGAGCTGTGATTGTGTGTGTGGTATATGTGTGTGTTTGAGGAGCGTAGTGTGTTTGAGGACTGTGGTGTGTTTGTGTGAAGAGTGTAGGATGTGTGTGTATATCTGAGGACTGTGGTGTGTTTGAGGAGTGTGGTGTGTTTGTGTGTGTGAAGAGTGTGGCGTGTTTGTGTGTGTGAGGAACATGATGTGTTTGAGGACTGTGGTGTGTTTGTGTGTGTGAAGAG